CTCCCAACCCCTAGTTAGCGCCCCGTAAACACCGCTTTTTTAATTCGCCCTGGCTATAACAATCAAAGCCCTGATAGCAACAAACCTCTGGCTACGGCCCTGATAAAGAGCATATTATGTTAGGTGTCAAGATACTTTACAACAAACATTTTACTATTTTCATGGATATCTAGATCGAAATGAAAGTAATTGAATAATTTTTATTATTTGAAGTATTATGACCTTAGTGTTTAAGAACTTTTGTAAAGAATTTAATAAACTGTCATATGATGTACAAATATACATGGTGTTCCGTATAAAAATAATAAATATAAATAAATAAATAAACTAACAAAGTTAACAATCGTTCAGACTTAATTTGAAACAGACTTAATGTACAGGGTGTAAATCGGAAAGTAGAACATATGCGTTTAACATGGGAAACGTTTCCTAATTATTTTACACAAAAATACTTCAAATAAAAGTTATAGAGATATAAATTCTGCATCTAAATCATGTCAAGCGATTGTTCTACCTCTTCTTGTACGCGAAAAAATTAATTATAAAGATTCTGTTTTCACGAGTTTTTAATCTAAGTACCTAGCCATGGACTATGTTTTTCTTTTATCATAGTCCATGGCTACTTAGACTAAAAACTCGTGAAAACAGAATTTTTATAATTAATTTTTTCGCGTACAGGAAGAGGTAGAATAATCGTTTCACATGATTTGGATGCAGAATTTATATTTCTATAACTTTTATTTGAAGTATTTTTGCGTAAAATAATTAGGAAACGTTTGCGCAAAGAAAAGTAATTCCCCATGTTAAATACCTATGTTCCACTTTTCGATTTACACCCTGTACATGTTTACCGCGAGGAGAATAGCACTAAGACATACCTACATAACAAACGATGTGAAATATTGCATACAGCATAAACATGCCTCATTTAATGCTTTGGTTCATAGATTTCACATTAAAATTACTTGAAGAATTGCGCACCATCAAAGAAATTGCTGTATACAATAGTTTTTCCGAAAACTTCATTATGACCTTTCCGGAAATAATTTATACAGAAGATGGGTTTCTTCCTTACAAAGGTCAAAAAAATAATTACCCTTTCAAAGGTAGTTGGGAAGTGGAATTGTAAAAATCCGTAAGTAATTGGTGGACTTAATTATAGTCTTTTCTGCGTCATTAGATTTCTATGGCGCATTATTCGAATATACTGTTTCACGCAAACCGTAACCTAAAAGTATTCAGGCTCTGATGGATAATTTAAATCTGAAAATTTACGTACCTACCATGATCAGTCGAGAGAAAATATTATCATGATCGTTTCGCTTCCGGTTGTCGTAACTTTCTTATTTTAAATAGAACACTCTGTATTTGATTTTCGAAATCTACATGAAAATCTACGTCGTTTGATACCATATTTCCCATACCCAGTATAAAAGGTTTTCAAGGTATTCAAGATTTTTCAAAAATTTTTTATGTTTCACAGCTTTTCTTTTGAGCCCTGTACCCATGACTTTGTTGACATGAATTTCTTAAAGTCATCCAAGCCAGGTCAATTTTAAAAAATAAAAAAGAAGAAATTTTCAGTAAACTTATATCAAGAGCTAACCGTGGGTCAGTCACTTTAAGTTCATGCTAAAAGTCTCGTATTGTTTCAAAGGAGGGAGAAATATACCGTTGCGTAATTATTACGAGTAACCGTGGGGTTTAAAAGAAAGGTGCTTTGTCTATACCTAACTCCTTTGTATTTGTTAACAATAATGAAAGCTAAAATCTGTAATTGCATTTAATAAGGCACCAAAAAGTAGTATACTCTTGTGTATTATCCGGGTCAGGAATGCTTTCTTCCACCCTTATTTCTCTCCATACAAGGATCAAAGCAAGTATAAATTGTGCATAAATCTTGTGCAAAGCGCATTTTTTTTCCGAAATAATAAAAAGTTGGGTTAAAAGGTAACCTTCTTGCAAAATGATTAATGGGGACGCTCTTGAGATATAAGGAATTATAAGTATAACTATGGTTGGTAGAAATTAATTGCTTTCATCGAGAAGCGTAAATCCAGTCTCCCTCCCTCCTCAATTTTAATACGCAGTAAGGGCGGAAAACTGTTCTTTCGTTGAGACCTTTAATTTGAGTACCGTGAAAGGTAAACCAATTTCCGTCCCCCGTCCCCCATTGATCTCGAAAAGGAATCGCAGAAGACAGTTATGAAATCAATTCCTTTCGATGAGACCTTTTAGTAATTTACGATTAAGAGATCTAAGGAAATAATTAATGAGAGTGGCTCCCCTTAACATATTCAAGGTACAAGCTGCCTATTGCAAAAAATCCAGGTCCACTGCCTATTTTGAATTTCTAGGTGTTTTGGCCTGGCATGCAGCTGTACTAGGTACAATATTAAGGCAAATATTTCCTTAGAATTTTCAAAAAGTCAAAATCTCTACCTTTTTCATTGGTAGGGCCGCAATTCACATCACTGGGCACAATAATAGTTTAATTTAACATCCGCGAATCGCGATATTACCACAAAGACGGTCCCGCCGCAACTGATAATTCTAATTTACGCATTATTTGACGCATCAGGCGATTTCAGTTGACCAGTCATTGTTCGTCAACGTGTTTCACATAAACAAGACGGCCTTCGCTTAAAATCTTTAATTTAAATTTACCGGACTTCTTTTGTTGCTTTTATTTTTGCCATCTTAAATTCAGAAGCAATTTTGTAATGTTAATAGGAATAATTTAGTAGGTTCTTTTTTCTATCAAAAAAGGTCTACTTATTGGACTTCTACTAAACAAATTGGAAATCCAACGTTTGGCTGTTTCTTTGTGGGGGGGGGGGGTCCTATTGATAATGTAGAAGCGAGAATTTCCCATTTTTCTCAGAAATTCTCAAAATACATGGCTACTACGAGTGACTGATGCATGCAGAAAACATTTTAGAGGCAACGATCAATTCGATGCACATCTCTTCATCTGGTCATATCGTATAGATGAAATTAATCATATTTCACTGGATTCCTCAT